AAAAGTAAAAAATATAGTAGAAAAAATTAAAGCAAAATATTTTTAATAAAAATTGAAAATAAAAACTTTCTTTTTGTATTCAAGAAAAAGAAAAAAAGAAAAAAAATGGAATAGATGGACCAGTTAGCAGACTGAAATACAATTGAAATTACATCGTTTTCCTGTAGAAGTCAAACTGTGAAGCCCTTGATAGTCCACAAACTAAGTAGGCGCAGAGACTTGTGGTATTCCTGAAGAGCGAGGTTGGCCCAGTTGGGCAGGGCTTAGTGTAATGGCTCTGTTCTCCACTAGATGGCGCTGCTTAGCTTACTGGGGTGGATTATTGTGGCACTTGTAGGTGTGTACGTGCATGCACGGGAGTGGTGAAAATGGCATACCCAGCCACCCGGTCTCCAGTATCGGAACTCTATTCTCCTCAACAATTGCGCACCCATCATTTGTTTCCGGCTTCCATCCACTCCCCACTTTTACACTGTGACCAAGCTGTCAGGTTGCCAGGGCACGTCCCTCCTGAGTTTTATCTCAGAGGCAGCTGTGTTTCTCGACCCCTCGCTTCTGAGGGACTGTGGCTTTGACCCGCTCAGATCCTCTGGGGGGGAGGGTCTCACTGAGCAATGGCTGGGTGCTGGCCACACCCACAGAGGACTGTGCTGCTGCCCAAGCTCAGAGACTGTGGCTGGGTGCCAGCCCACCCCCGAGAATGTTCTCGTGATTGTGTAGTAGCAGCATTTCAGGGATTATGGAAAATCACAACATACATCTGGCACCAGGCTTCACCCTTAATGACCTTGTTCCAGCACCAGTGAATGTGGTTTGTTATCTGGTGTCTGCTGGGACTGGGTGGCCACAGAGCCTCTACCAAATGTCCTTCCAGCAGTGGAATCACTTCTCCCTGTGTGGCCCGAGAACCTCCTAGACCCCACTATGCTCCTGGGGATTCACTCTTGCCACCAGAGCACCACCAGGTATCAAGCTGAAGAGTTTCAGACTCTGTGCTCCCCCTGTTTATACAGTCTTAATGGAATTTAAACCCTCTCCTTTTTCCCTTTTTAGTTCAGTCCCTGTGGCTGTTTCCACTTTTCCACTTTCTCTCCAGCTGCTTTTGGGGAGGGTGCTTTTCCCATATTCTCCCCCCATCTCTGTCCTCTCTCTGCAAGCAAAAACAGCTCCCTGCCCTCCGTGGCTTCTCTCACCCCCATTTCACCTCTCTGCTCTGCATACCTGCTGAGTTCTGTAGTTCAGGTTGTGCAGATTGTTGTGTTAATCCTCAAATCAGTTTTCTAGGTGTGCAGGATGGCTTAGTGTTGATCTGGCTGTATTTCATGGATGTGAGATGCAAAAAAAACCTTCTATGCTCTTCTGCTATCTTGGCTCCCTCCATAATATTCTTGTATTAACCTTTTAATGTCTATGGGATCAGTCCCTCTTTCATTTCTGATATTAGTAATTTGTGTCTTTTTTCTTAGTTTTATTGCTAGTGGTTTATAAATTTTATTGACAATAGAATATTATTTAGTATTATAACAAATTGGCTGTTAAGCCATGATAGAATTTATATGCATATTACTAAGTGAAAAAAGCCAACCTTAAAGGCCACATACATACTATATGATTCCAACTAAAAGGTTAAACTATAATGATGGTAAAAAGATGAGTTGTTGCCAGGAGTTAGTGGGGAGAGAAGGATGAATATGAAGAGAGAATATTTAGGGCAGTGAAACTATGTATGATACTGTAATGATGGATATACTTTATTAGACACTTGTTCAAATCCTTAGAATATACAATACCCAGGTAAAACTCTAAGGTAAACTAGGGACTTTGGATGGTAGTGATTTATCAGTGTAGGTTGATCAACTGTAACAAATGGTGGACAATGGAGATAATGGGGAGGCTATATATGTGTGGGGGTCAAGAAGTTTATGGGATATCTCTGTACTTTCAGCTCAGTATTGCTGTGAACCTTCTCTAAAAATTCAAAACAAAAATAAAAATAAAACAAAAACATAGTAGCTACTCTTCTAATATCCCAGCGAGCTTTCCTTGAACCTTTGGCTATTGGAATTATTGTTGAGAGTAGACTACCCAACTTTAGACTTTCCTAGTTTGGGCTTGCTACCATGAGCTAGGTTTGTAGCTTGTAACTTTTATGTATCTCACCTACCAGA